TGTCTACACTGGCAGAGTTACAGCGCTGGGAGTTCAGTGCCGCTCAGAGAGCGCTGAAGGGAAACCGCTATTCTGTCTTCACATTGTCAGCTGCCTGTGCAATAGCGTGTTCACACTTGCGGCACTTGCAGCCGTGTTCGGAGCGGTGCACTCTGGGCAGCTATCCCACTGAGCATCGCTTCTCTTCTGCCGCTAAGCACTGTGAGAAGACAGAGGGGGTCGCAGGGCATCCTGGGTCCTGTCCCAATGCCCCGTGAGGCATTGCTTCGCATCCCAGCAATCCCTGTGCTTCCGTCTGCATTTGGTGCCATCTTTCAATAGTGGGTGTACTGCGCATTCTGCCTCTTCAGGCTGCAGGAATGGATCCCGCACTGTTGACCAATATGCTACACGTCACGAGTGGCAGTGGAGTTATTCCTTAAACTACAAAGGCAGAGGAATTTGACATTGATCTCACCACACGTAGTAGCTACGACACGAGATTGCTTGTGGCATTCACGGAGGTGCTGACCACAGTGGAACGCTGCTTTTGGGCTCGGGAAACAAGTACTGAGTGGTGGGATCACAACGTCATGCACATCTGGGATGACGAGCAGTGGCTGCAGAGCTTTCGGATGAGGAAAGCCACAATCATCCATCTAGCCCAGTGTGCTGCCTGAGAGTGACCAGTGCCAGAGGAAATGAACAGAACAGGCTTGTTCACCTGCAAGGTGAGGGTCTTTCACCCTTACCTTTAACTTTATTGTTGTCGATTCCTACTTATTCTATCTTACCACACCTCCCCCGAGGTCTCTGGGCAAATCAGGTGTGAACCACTCCTTTGATACAGGACGTGTCCCAATCCAGCTGAATTGAGGCAGACTTTGGGCCAATGTCAGTTTGGAAAAGGCCCGCTTAACCCAGCAGGTTTCTCAAAGTATCCGTTGCTGTGAACCGCATGTAGTGTGGATGTGCGAACCCCAAAGATATCAAACATGAAAGAAACACAAGGCCAGTTTTGGGGAGGTTTCCAGAGCCAGGCCTGAGGGTTAAACAGCTGTGCTCAAAAGGAAAAGGGGCCTCAGCACCTATAAAAATAACTGGTTGCAAAACAAAACAAAAATTACATTAAAAAACCAACCCAGAACAGCTACCATCACACATCCATCACCATTTTAGATTTTGACATCTCCTGCCTGATGTGACATCTTTGCTTTGCAAACAAGAGACCTGGAGAACTCTGTGGCTGTTACCCTCTAACTGGGTAAAAGGTTCCAAATCCTGTCTCAAGTAATTTTCCTCTTAACAGAAGATTTAAAATCTATCAAAATAAATTCCATTTTAAATAGAAATAATTACAGTCTCTACTGGGTCTCTATTCTCATACATGCTATTTCTCTCACATAGTCCTCCACTCTAATTCCTTTGCAGTGAGGTTTTAATTTCAGGATTAGCCTCCATTTCCTATGTACTAGGACGGGGCAGGGAGAGAACTAGAAGAAAACCTGAATTATATTGTAACACTGAAAGTTGAAAGTTATCACATCATCAGCCTCTTCCGTTACACTAATTAACGTCATGTTTAATTTCATTGTCGCTGGTAACAACTTATTAAATGATTACAAAATATAAACCTATAGGGGCATTTTCTCTTAATTCCCATTTCCACCCAGTGAGCTTTGTGTGAAGTCACATTCTACAATTACCTAGGAGCCTTCCATTTCTGTGAGTTCATTTCTCCCTGTGTCTTCTCCCAGAAGTATGGGTGGAAGGGGGTCTCACACTACGTGGGAAGGCTGCATCATGAGAAAAACCACCTGTGCTCTATTTTCACACTTGCTAATCTTTCAAAGTAGGAGCAGGAGGAGAAGTAATACAAATGCATTAGACTTAATAGCAAATCTAAGAGACCAAACCACAGACTCTGGACTCAGCATTCACGTTTCCTGCAGTCTGAACTTGGAATCTGATATATTCCCTCACTGGCTACCATCATTTGCCCAGCATGGAAGTGTTTCTTGTCCAACAAGACAGCCAGATTGGGACCCATAGGCATTGGATGGCTCTGAAGGAATCAGCTGTTGCCTGGGAGTTTGCCTGGGAGGAGTTCCCACAGAGTGTTTTTGCATTTCAGGCTTCTGTGAGAAGTAAATACAACATCTGAGGAAGACATGGATACTGAGTGATCAGCTGTTGTGACCTGCACAGGATGTGCCATGTTTGTCTTTCTCCCAGAGGACAGAAGTGACTTTGGCTGTACGAAGTGCAAACTGATCTCCATATTAGAAGGTTAAAGGACAAGAGACGCAAGTATCAACCTTGCGTTGCATCAGAGAAAATGAAGACTTTCTGGACAGAAGTCAGTGTTTGGTTCTGGAGGCACAACATGCCGAAGAATCAGAGAGGGCCGGGCAGATCGGGGAAGAAAACTGGTGCCATGTGATCTCCAGAAGAAGAATGAGGAGAACCCATGTACCCCCAATGCAGATAGAGGTACAAAACTGTTTTCAGGCTCTCTGCACAGGTTCTATGGCAGAGAATGATTTGGAAGAGCAATCTAGGGATCAGAAGGAGACCCCATCGACCAGAAGGCATGAGACGCATTGTCCTAGGGATGGGGCTTCCATGACTACCACTCCCAAGAGGAGGAGAAGGGTGGTGGTGGTCGGGGACTCCCTCCTAAGAGGGATGGAGTCATCCATCTGCTGACCAGACCGAGAGACTCGAGAAGTGTGCTGCTTGCCTGGAACTAGAATTCAGGATGTGATGGAGTGTCTGCTGAGACTGATCAAGCTCTCGGACCGCTAGCCCTTCCTACTTCTCCACATGGACAGCAATGATACTGCCAAGAATGACCTTGAGTGGGTCACTGCAGACTACGTGGCTCTGGGAAGAAGGATAAAGGAGTTTGAGGTAAAAGTCATGTTCTCGTTCATCCTCCCTGCTGAAGGAAAAGGCCCAGCTAGGAACCATTGAATTGTGGAGGTAAATGCGTGGTTACACAGGTGGTGTCGGAGACAGGGCTTTGGATTCCTCGACCATGGCATGTTCCGGGAAGAAGGATTGCTAGAAAGAGATGGGATCCACCTAATGAAGAGAGGGAAGAGCATTTTCACAGACAGGGTTGTTAACCTAGTGAGGAGGGCTTTAAACTAGGTTCGCTGGGGGATGGTGACCTAAGCCCTGAGGTAAGTGGGGAAAGTGGGATATCGGGAGGAAACACAAGGAGGAGGATGCAATGGGAGGGCCTCCTGATTCATACTGAGAAAACAGGGCAATCGGCTAATTATCTTAGGTGCATGTAAATGAACACAAGAAGCCTGAGAAACAAGCAGGAAGAATTGGAAGTCCTGGCACAGTCAAAGAACTATGATGTGACTGGAATATCAGAGACTTCATGGGGCAGGTCACATGACTGGAGCACTGACATGGATGGGTATAAACTGTTCAGGAAGGACAGGCAGGGGAGGAAAGGTGGAGGAGTTGCACTGTATGTAAGAGAGCAGTATGATTGCTCAGAGCTCCAGTATGAAACTGGAGAAAAGCCTGTTGAGAGTCTTTGGGTTAATTTTAGAAGTGAGAGCAACACAGGTGATGTGGTGGTGGGTGTGTGCTATAGACCACCGGATCAGAAGGATGAGGTAGATGAGGCTTTCTTCGGACAACTAACAGAAGTTTCCAGATCACAGGCCCTGGTTCTCATGGGGCACTTCAATCACCCTCACATTTCCTGGGAGAGCAATACAGCAGTGCACAGACAATCCAGGCAGTTTTTGGAGAGTGTTGGGGACAACTTCCTGGTGCAACTACTGGAGGAACCAACTAGGGGCCGTTCTCCTCTTGACCTGCTGCTCACAAACAGGGAAGAATTGGTAGGGGAAGTAGAAGTGGGTGGCAACCTGGGCAGCAGTGACCATGAGATGGTTGAGTTCAGGATCCTCACAAAAGGAAGAAAGGAGAGTAGCAAAATACAGACCCTGGACTTCAGAAGAGCAGACTTTGACTCCCTTAGGGAACTGATGGGCAGGATCCCCTGGGAGGCTAAGATGAGGGTGTCCAGGAAAGCTGGCTGTATTTTAAAGAAGACTTATTAAGGGCACAGGACCAACCATCCCGATGTGCAGAAAGAATAGCAAATAGGGCAGCAACCAGCTTGGCTTAACAGTGAAATCTTCGGTGAGCTTAAACACAAAAAGGAAGCTTACAAGAAGTGGAAACTTGGTCAGATGACTAGGGAGGCATATAAAAATATTGCTCGAGCATGCAGGGGTGTAATCAGGAAGGCCAAAACACAACTGGAGTTGCAGCTAGCAATGGATGTGAAGGGTAACAAGAAGGGTTTCTACAGGTATGTTAGCAACAACAAAAAGTTCAGGAAAAGTGTGGGACCCTTGATGAACGGGGGAGGCAACCTAGTGACAGATGACGTGGAAAAAGCTGAAGTACTCAATGCTTTTTTTGCCTCGGTCTTCACAGACAAAGTCAGCTCCCACACTGGGAAACGTGATGGAGTTTAGGTCAGGTCAAGGGGAAAGCTAATGCCAACCACTGCACCTGGGATGCATCTGCTCTACAACTAGAATTGTCTTTTTACACCAAGATCACTAACTTGAGCAGCCAACACCATGTACAGTCCTAGTGGATGTAAGGCACAGGTAGTTTTTGCCTCAGTGTAGCTTGTTGGGATCAAACCTCTCTCTCCCACCTGGAGCGGATGAACATTCCTGGCTGGAGGGACACACACTCCTATGACTCAAAAGGAAAGGAGTTGATAGAAAAGATCAGAGTACTGACCCCAAAGAAGGTGAGATGCAAAAGGCAGAAGCAGGCAACTCATCTCATGGAGCTGAGAGACCATGGTGAAGATGGTGCACAGATCACTATGTGACAATTAGCAAATGTGATTTTTTTTTTAATCTTTGCCCAGCCCTAATCAAGGCATTTGTTACAGTTCTCTTATGTGGATTTTCTGATGTCTAATAATGTGTGAGCTCTTTTTGAAGCTTTTCCCACACTCAGCGCATCCATAAGGTTTCTCACCCGTGTGGATTCTCCGATGTATAAACAGGTCAGAGCTCCGATTGAAGCTTGTCCCACAGTCAGAGCATGTGAAGGGCGTCTCTCCTGTGTGGATTCTACAATGTGAGATAAGTTGTGAGTGCTGACTAAAGCTTTTCCCACACTAAGAGCATGTGTAGGGCTTCTCACCTGTGTGGATTCTCCTATGAGTGATAAGGTTTGAGCTCCGACTGAAGCTTTTCCCACACTCAGACCACGTGTAGGGCGTCTCTCCTGTGTGGATTCTCTGATGTCTGATAACGTGTGAGCGCTGATTGAAGCTTTTCCCGCACTCAGAGCACGTGTAGGGCTTCTCTCCTGTGTGGGTTCTCTGATGTGTGATCAGGTCAGAGCTGTGACTGAACCTTTTCCCGCACTCAGAGCATCCATATGGTTTCTCTCCTGTGTGGATTCTCCTATGTGTGATCAGGGCAGAGCTGTGCTTAAAGCTTTTCCCACACTCAGAGCATGTGTAGGGCATCTCTCCTGTGTGGATTCTCTGATGTGCGATAAGGTTTGAGCACTGACTAAAGCTTTTCCCACACTCAGAGCATGTGTAGGGCGTCTCTCCTGTGTGGATTCTCCTATGTGTGATCAGGGCAGAGCTGTGACTGAAGCTTTTCCCGCACTCAGAGCATCCATAAGGTTTCTCACCCGTCTGGATTCTCCTGTGTTTGCTCAGGGTAGAGCTGTGATTGAAGCTTTTCCCACACTCACAGCACGTGTAGGGCATCTCTCGTGTGTGGATTCTCTGATGTGTGATAAGATTTGCATGCTGACTATAGCTTTTCCCACACTCAGAGCACGTATACGGTTTCTCTCCAGTGTGGGTTCTCCTATGTGAGATAAGGTGTGAGCTCCGATTGAAGCTTTTCCCACACTCAGCGCATGTGTAGGGCTTCTCTCCTGTGTGGATTCTACAATGTGTGATAAGGGCAGAGCTGTGACTGAAGCTTTTCCCACACTCATGGCATGTGTAGCATCTCCCTTTCAAGTTGATTCTGTCGTGGGTTATAAGGTCTGAGTGGCTACTGAAGGTTTCCTCTGGCATCTGCTGAGTCTCACATGCTTTTGCTTTTTCTGGGAGTGCACAACTCCCGGAAACATTCCTTTTGGATCTTCCTGATAACATCCCATGTTGTTCTACTTGCTCAGCATCTTCCTGCTGGGGTTTCTCGTCCTCATTCTCACTCACCATCCCATCACCTGATGGGAGACCGAGAGAATCCAAACATAGGTCACTCCCTGCGCCAGAAAAAAAGGAAATCTCAGAGAGAGGAATGGAAAAAAGGGATGAACAAACCAAAATATGTGTGGGAGAGATCAGACCTATCAGGAGCTGATTTTCCCCAAACCCTTCCCCAGAGGAGAGAGGAAGGGATCAGTTTTGGTCCGCATCTCACCAGAACACTCAGGGGAAAGTGAGATCGGGGAGGGACCTGCTGCCAGTTGTCAGTCAGAATAGGAGGGAAGCCATGAGTGACATCTGCCATAATGATTCCATTCTGCAGGGAACTATCCTGAACTTGGAGAGCTCACAGGGTCTTTGTAGAGCATCCCGAATGTTTCCTGCATTCCCAAACAGTTGTTGAGTTGGTTTAACCAATTCCTCACCTGTGCAGGCAGCTCTTGAGAGCACTTCTTTCTCAGAGCCCTGGAGGTCCGGGACCCACGGCTCGTCCCCTCGTTCCAGCTGCGAGATCACATCAGGTTTGGAAACTGGAAACCCTACTCCAGAGAAAGAAAACAAGGGAGGTCAGTGGGATACTTGTCACAAAGAATATTCTATGGTTTTAACCCCAGCTCATTTTTAAGCAGTAACATCCCAAGGCTCAAAGTGGCAGGAGAGTTATTATTATAAATCATATTCATTACCTTAGGCCTTGGCTACACTCGAAACTTCAAAGCGCTGCCGCGGCAGGGCTTTGAAGTGCGAGTGTGGTTGCGCCGCCAGCGCTGGGAAAGAGCTCTTCCAGCGCTGCATGTACTCCACCTCTCAGAGGGGATTAGCTTACAGCGCTGGGAGCGCGACCCACCAAATCGACTGCAGATCTCTCTGCAGTAAACCCCTGTACTCTACCCTGACGAGAAGAGTAAGGTAAGTAGACCCTGCGGTAACTTGACCTAAGGTACATCGACTCCAGCTATGTTATTCACGTAGCTGGAATTGCGCAGCATAGGTTGAGTTACTGCGGTAGTGTAGACATAGCCTAAGCTTGCTACAGTTAAAGGTCTTATATTAGGTTGAGGCTTTGTGGGAGCAGTTATGTTGAAGTCTGGGATTTACCTGAATAGGCCTAAGGAGAGAATCCCAGGTCAGATATTTTGCACCCCCATTTTGAGAGACTAACGAGGAACCACAAACAGGTGCAATACGCTGCAGGATTCTGAAAGAAGGAAGTTTGGGGCAGGCTTTAGCAATTAGGTTGCTATGAAGTATCTCAGCAGTTGGACCGCATTCATATATTGGAATTATTAATAAATAAGTGATGTAAATCATGAGTATTAATGCTTGATGCTTAATTATGGACTTCCCAAAGCCCACGCATGGTTTGGGGCAGCTATTGACGTTATTGTAATCAGAGTAAACGAGCAGATATGATATATAGCCATCCTATTACCATAAGAAAGAGGATAAAATACCTCTCCTAGTTACCATTTTTTCATTTTGTCGGGTCCCCGAGACAGTGTAAACTGAAGGAGGGGCTCCCTTCTGATGGCCTCCCTTGCCCCTCCATCTTTGTTTCCAATAGTGTCCATAACTTGTAAGTATGCACAGTGCAAGACTCTCTTTACTTTACTTATCATAGTCTAATTGTTATGTGTATTGATTTTGCCTTTGATTATATCAAGTTTCTGTGTGTTTCACCAAATTTCATCTCCTCCATTAACTTTGAGTAGCCATGTACAAGGGCAAGTTGTACCCCAATACATAGGTGTAAAAATTGTACAGGCTACACTACCACCCTGTGACATCATCAACCAAGTCCCCATTTGTGCCTGGGTAGGGGCTCTGCTATGGGAGGGAGGAATGCAGCAAGGACTCAGGATGGTTGGCCAGGGTCGCTGTGCATAGAGATGGGGAGGTTATATGGGGAGAGGGGTAATGAGTGGGAGAGGGAGGTCAAGAGTTAAAATAATAATATTGGGGGTGGGGGATGTATAATGAAATGAAACTGAACAGAAATAAAACTGGAGTGGAGGCTCTAAAGCAACAAGGCTTGGGTAGGGATTCGGGGTTAAAGGTCTGGGATCCCCCACAGCTCTAGATCCCCAAACCTCTCCTCCCTCCCACTGACCCACCCAGCCCACTTCCTGGGTGCCCTTCCTCCACACTCCCCTCCCCTTCGTCCCATTACTCTCAGCCGGCACCACCTCCCGGCACCTTGGGAACTTCTCGTGTTCCCTCCTCGTCTCTCACTACCTCATCCCTCCCTGCTGCTTCTTAACTCTAACCCTGCACACACCCTCCCCATGTCCTGGCACCCCAGAATTATCTCCTCCCCCCTTCTCCTCCCCTCCCATGGCTCTGTTCTCCCTTCACCAGTGGGGTCCTGAATGGCAACATTATATGCTCTCCTATCAAAAGAGGAGCTCATCTGACTGGCACACAAGCCATGAATGAGTCATACACCTATTTACTCAATTTAGAATTCTACAGGCAGCATATTTTCCTCTTAAAATGAGGAAAAGGCATGAAAGCTACAGTTATTAATGTAGTTATTAATGTAGTCAATAAGGATACATTAAATGCAATTTTAAAATGACTGACGGCACCAAAAAGGCACATGTCCAAAAATTATACTAGTGGGTGGGAGATAAGGCAAAAAAAGGGGGGGCAAAGAAACTTGTCAAAACTTGTATGACGAATAAAAGTATAAAGTTATTACTACTCAGGTTCTTTAGAGACCCCACAGCTTCTAAGAACCGAGGGGACAGGACTCCTTACCCAACAAGACCACCATCTCATAGTTCTCCTGCATGACATACCTGTAGAGGGCTCTCTGAGTTGGGTCCAGCAGAGCCCACTCTTCCCTGGTGAAATACACAGCCACCTCCTCGAAAGTCACCGGCCCCTGAAAGAGCAAGAGTCAAACACTCAGTACCTGCTGCCCCAGTCACAACCCCACTATTCATGGAACAGCAGCACCAGGTAAATGGAAGCTCCGGGAGGCACATGTTAACAGAGTCCCACCCCACCTTGCCTAGAGCAGCCAGAAGGCATCAGAGGGTAGAAAGAGAGAACCTTTTTGTCTCCAAGTTGACAGACGGAAGCAGGATTCATAGATTCATAGACTCTAGGACTGGAAGGGACCTCGAGAGGTCATCGAGTCCAGTCCCCTGCCCTCATGGCAGGACCAAATACTGTCTAGACCATCCTTGATAGACATTTATCTAACCTACTCTTAAATATCTCCAGAGATGGAGATTCCACAACCTCCCTAGGCAATTTATTCCAGTGTTTAACCACCCGGACGGTTAGGAACATTTTCCTATTGTCCAACCTAAACCTCCCTTGCTGCAGTTTAAGACCATTGCTTCTTGTCAAACCAATCTGATAGCTTTCTTTGATAGGATAACGAGTCTTATGGATAAGGGAGAAGCGGTGGATGTGGTATACCTAGACTTTAGTAAGGCATCTGATACGGTCTCACATGATATTTTTATCAATAAACTAGGCAAATACAACTTAGATGGGGCTACTATAAGGTGGGTGCATAACTGGCTGGATAACTGTACTCAGAGAGTTATTAATGGTTCCCAATCCTGCTGGAAAGGTATAATGAGTGGGGTTCCACAGGGGTCTGTTTTGGGACCGGCTCTGTTCAATATCTTCATCAACAACTTAAATATTGGCATAGAAAGTACGCTTATTAAGTTTGCAGATGATACCAAACTGGGAGGGATTGCAACTGCTTTGGAAGATAGGGTCATAATTCAAAATGATCTGGACAAATTGGAAAAATGGTCTGAGGTAAACAGGATGAAGTTTAATAAAGACAAATGCAAAGTGCTCCACTTAGGAAGGAACAATCAGTTTCACACATACAGAATGGGAAGAGACTGTCTAGGAAGAAGTATGGCAGAAAGGGATCTAGGGGTTATTGTGGACCACAAGCTAAATATGAGTCAACAGTGTGATGCTGTTGCAAAAAAAGCAAACATGATTCTGGGATGCATTAACAGGTGTGTTGTGAGCAAGACACGAGAAGTCATTCTTCCACTCTACTCTGCACTGGTTAGGCCTCAACTGGAGTATTGTGTCCAGTTCTGGGCACCGCATTTCAAGAAAGATGTGGAGAAATTGGAGAGGGTCCAGAGAAGAACAACAAGAATGATTAAAGATCTAGAGAACATGACTATGAAGGAAGGCTGAAATAATGGAGTTTGTTTAGTTTGGAAAAGAGAAGACTGAGAAAGGACATGAAAGCAGTTTTCAGGTTTCTAAAAGGGTATCATAAGGAGGAGGGAGAAAATTTGTTCATCTTAGCCTCTAAGGATAGAACAAGAAGCAATGGGCTTAAACTACAGCAAGGGAGGTTTAGGTTGGACATTAGGAAAAAGTTCCTGTCAGGGTGATTAAACACTGGAATAAATTGCCTAGGGAGGTTGTGGAATCTCCATCTCTGGAGATATTTAAGAGTAGGTTACATAAATGTCTATCAAGGATGGTCTAGACAGTATTTGGTCCTGCCATGAGGGCAGGGGACTGGACTCGATGACCTCTTGAGGTCCCTTCCAGTCCTAGAATCTGTGAATCTGTGACTAAGAATGGCCATACTGGGTCAGACCAAAGGTCCATCCAGCCCTGTATCCTGTCTACCGACAGTGACCAATGCCAGGTGCCCCAGAGGGAGTAAACCTAACAGGTAATGAGCAAGTGATCTCTCTCCTGCCATCCATCTCCACCCTCTGACAAACATAGCCTAGGGACACCATTCCTTACCCATCCTGGCTAATAGCCATTAATGGACTTAACCTCCATGAATTTATCTAGTTCTCTTTTAAACCCTGTTATAGTCCTAGCCTTCACAACCTCCTCAGGCAACGAGTTCCACAGGTTGACTGTGCACTGTGTGAAGAAGAACTTTCTTTGATTTGTTTTAAACCTGCTGCCCATTCATTTCATTTGGTGGCCCCTAGTTCTTGTATTATGGGAACAAGTAAATAACTTTTCCTTATTCACTTTCTCCACCTGAGGAACAAAGACTGAACTGGGGGAAGTGTTGGTCCCAGGATAAAGGGATTTCAAGCTTGAGTATGGAAACTTGGTGGACTGCTTCTATCATCAGTCAGGGTGAGAAATTGCGAATTCAAATTCTACCCATCTAGTATGTTAGCAAATAACAAAAAACTCAAACTAAGCCTAAGTAATCTGCTTTGATCTCTTTGCTATCACTTATTGCTGGGAAATTGGGTGTTGTCTTCTATCTGTCCTTGAGTGGCTTAGGTAAAGCACTCAGGTAGCTTAGTTGGATTCATGGCGCCACCTGCTGTTGTGTTGGGTGATAACAGGGCCTGGAGAGGCTGGCTGAATCTCCAGCAAAGCAGTGTGGGGGTATGTCTACACTACGAAATTAGGTTGAATTTATAGAAGTCGGTTGTTTAGAAATCGTTTTTATAAGGTCCATCGTGTGTGTCCCCACACAAAATGCTCTAAGTGCATTAAGTTGGCGGACTGCGTCCACAGTACCGAGGCTAGCGTCGACTTCCGGAGCGTTGCACTGTGGTAGCTATCCCACAGTTCCCGCAGTCTCTGCTGCCCATTGGAATTCTGGGTTGAGATCCCAATGCCTGATGGGGCAAAAACAGTGTCGCAGGTGATTTTAGGTACATGTCATCAGGACCCACCCTCCCTCCCTCCGTGCAGTGAAAGCAACGGCAGACAATCGTTTTGTGCCTTTTTTCAGCCCAGACACCATAGCACTGGGATCATGGAGCCCACTCAGATCACTGCGGCAGTTATGAGCACTTTAAACACCACGCGCATTATCCTGGAGTATATGCAGGACCAGAACCTGCCAAGGCAAAACCAGGCGAGGAGGCGACGGCAGCACGGCGACAAGAGTGATGAGGAAATAGACATGGACATAGACCTCTCACAAAGTACGGGCCCCAGAAATTTGCAAATCATGGTATTAATGGGGAAGGTTCATGCCGTGGAATGCCGATTCTGGGCCAGGGAAACAAGCACAGACTGGTGGGACCGCATAGTGTTGCGGGTGTGGGACGATTCCCAGTGGCTGCGAAACTTTTGCATGCGTAAGGGCACTTTCATGGAACTTTGTGAGTTGCGTTGCCCTGCCCTGAAGCGCCAGAATACCAAGATGAGAGCAGCCCTCATGGTTGAGAAGCGAGTGGCGATATCCCTGTGGAAGCTTGCAACGCCAGACAGCTACCGGTCAGTTGGGAATCAATTTGGAGTGGGTAAATCTACTGTGGGGGCTGCTGTGATCCAATTAGCCAACGCAATCAAAGAGCTGCTGGTATCAAGGGTAGTGACTCTGGGAAACGTGCAGGTCATAGTGGATGGCTTTGCTGCAATGTGATTCCCTAACTGTGGTGGGGCGATATACGGAACCCATATCCCTATCTTGGCACCTGAGCACCAAGCCAGCAAGTACATAAATGCTGCTGCAAGCACTGGTGGATCACAAGGGACGTTTCACTAACATCAACGTGGGATGGCCGGGAAAGGTACATGATGCTCTGGTCTGTTTCAAAAGCTGCAGGAAGGGACTTTCTTCCCAGATCAGAAAATAACCATTGGGGATGTTGAAATGCCTATAGTTATCCTTGGGGACCCAGCCTACCCCTTAATGCCATGGCTCATGAAGCCATACACAGGCAGCCTGGACAGTAGTCAGGACCTGTTCAACTATAGGCTGAGCAAGTGCAGAATGGTGATAGAATGTGCATTTGGACTTTTTAAAGCGCGCTTGCGCAGTTTACTGACTCGGATAGACCTCAGCCAAACCAATATTCCCATTGTTATTACTGCTTGCTGTGCGCTCCACAATATCTGTGAGAGTAAGGGGGAAACATTTATGGCGGGGTGGGAGGTTGAGGCAAATCGCCTGGCTGCTGATTACGCGCAGCCAGACACCAGAGCGGTTAGAAGAGTACAGCAGGGCACGGTGCGCATCAGAGAAGCTTTGAAAACCAGTTTTGTGACTGGCCAGGCTACGGTGTGAAACTTCTGTTTGTTTCTCCTTGATGAACCCCCCCCCCCAGTTCAGTCTACTTCCCTGTAAGCTAACCACCCTCCCCTCCCCTCCCCCCTTTGATCACCGCTTGCAGAGGCAATAAAGTCATTGTTACTTCACATTCATGCATTCTTTATTAATTTATCACACAAATAGGGGGATAACTGCCAAGGTAGCCCGGGAGGGGTGGAGGAGGAGGGAAGCATTGGGTGGGGTGGGGGAGGAGATAAGGACAAGGACACACTGCACTTTAAAACGTATTGAAGGCCAGTCTTCTGTTGCTTGGGCAATCCTCTGGGGTGGAGTGGCTGGGTGGCCGGAGGCCCCCCCACCGCGTTCTTGGGCGTCTGGGTGAGGAGGCAATGGAACTTGGGGAGAGGGCTGTTGGTTACACAGGGGCTGTAGTGGCGGTCTGTGCTCCTGCTGCCTTTCCTGTAGCTCAACCATACGCTGGAGCATATCAGTTTGATGCTCCAGCAGCCGGAGCATCGACTCTTACCTTCTGTCAGCAAGCTGACGCCACCTATCCTCTTCAGCCCGCCACTTGCTCTCTTCAGCCCGCCACCTCTCCTCGCGTTCATATTGTGCTTTTCTGCACTCTGACATTGTCTGCCTCCACGCATTCTGCTGTGCTCTGTCAGCGTGGAGGACATCTGGAGCTCCGAGAACATGTCATCCCGAGTGCGCCTTTTTCGCCTTCTAATCTTCACTAGCCTCTGCGAAGGAGAAACATTTGCAGCTGGTGGCGGAGAAGGGAGAGGTAGTAGTTAAAA